GGGCAGAATACAGCGGCCTCTCCTTTTTGAGGGTTGGACCGGCCCTACAACATCTGTTATGTTTAAGTTTACTTTGTATTCATGTTTAGTTTGTTATTGGGCTCATCTCCCTTCCCACTCATTTTTTCATCTTTAGAGTTTTATATATGATTCATGATCATGAAATTTTTATGGTATGGGGCATGTTTTGTAGGTTCCCCACCTTGAGAGGATGTGGTATTATGGTGTATGAAGGATTGATTGGTGATGGATGAGTTCTTGTGGTGAATGTGCAAATTGTTATGAGTGAATGGGTTGTGAAGCAAATTAGCTAGGTATAGGATAGTTAGTGAACCCCCCCTTTTTCGGCCTTGTGCCACAATTGCATTCTTATATACAATAAATATCAATTTTTCTATTGTCTGGTGAAGTGCTGTCACTAAGTTTATTGATCAAGATCTTGTTTATATCAGTTAATTCTACCTTCATCTTTGTCTCTTCCACTAAACCAAAATAGATGCCTTTTTTGCACCACCCAACCTACTTACAATAGTCAGGTAACTTGATTTTCTTACCAATGCTATTAACTATTAGACTATGACTTCTATATGATGGAAACTTGAAGCTAATGTTACCTGTTTGCTTCTCCAACTTAAGAGTTTATGAGGGGGTGCTGAAATGTTCTCAGCCCAACTAAGAAGGGATTCCAATATAAATTCAGATGTTTGTTCATTTAGTCTCTGAAAAGTATCTTCTGTTATTTCTATGCACATTTGGAATTCACTGCTATGCTTTCCATTGTTTATTATTAAACTCTAATTAAATAGCTAAATTTCTGCACTTTCTTGATTTTTATGTCGCCAATATCTAACTCACATCCTTGTCATAATCTGCTTTTTATGAAAGCTATTTCTTCCTAGTACATGTTACAGATTACTTGGATATTTTTTTCCATGTACATCAAGTTTTTTGAACATTTCATAGAGTTCTTCATGCCATATTTTATTGAATATCTTCATGTAATCTGAAATATAAGTATAGATTTTTATGCACTTATACATTCTGAAGAGAAAAATTTCATTTCTTGATCCAGTATTTTGAACAAAGTCCTATTCTTGCCTTATTTCTAGTCCAATTCTGTTACAAGTTCTATTTATTAAAATCCTAATTATTCCTTTAGTTATGAGTCTAATTAGGCATTCAATTACACCGGGTTTCTTTCACAGCACTATGAAGATTGATCTACTGAAGAAGTCACCTGACAAATTTCATAATCTCCCTTATAAACAATGCCTTCACATGCTTTGCTGAGGTGTGAATCTTTCCTCAGCTAAAAAAACATAAAATGTGCATATATGTATTGATTTTATTTACCTGATTTCTATACTCAAAGGAAGATAATATCAGAATAAATTTAAATACCAAGAACTATAAACAGAATGTGAAGGAATGTTTTATCACATATTTATGACAAGTACAGATATTTTCAAAAGAAAGAAAAAGGCACAAGGAAATTTAAATATCAACATTCATACTTTTAACCTGTTAAAAGCAATATCCAATCAGCAGACAACATTTTAAAGTATTTCTGCTGAGTCACTTCCAACAGAACAATATATTTAGCTTTACAAAAAAGGCTTTAGTTTGTATAAAAAAAAACTTTGGTTATTGGTGTGTTTATCGGAGATATATTCACCAGTGCACCAACTTCAATGAGTTGTCACCACTAAGATAGCAATAAGTTACATGTTTCAACCTATTCAACAGCAGAAAAGAAAATGTATCTACTATACAAGTCAATCTTTAGTAATCAGATGGGTCAGATGCTTTGAATAACAAGACAACAATCCAATTACTCAACAATATTTGATTCATTATTTCATTCATTTTAATTACCAAGATGAAATGCTGATAAAATATTTTCTACTCCAGTCTACCTTGATCTGAAATGCAAGAAATGTTCAGAATATAATTTACCATTTCAAATTCAAATCACTGTGCCAAACTACAACCATCAGTAATTTTATTCAAGGTTGGTTGAAGTATATGTTTATACTTTAGTCTGGTTATGAACTTTTCACATACATACAAACTTTACATATCTACACATTATTGTAACAGTGAGTAGCGTATGTGAGATATGGAATATTTATTCTGAATACCAACTCTGTTTCAACTAAAGTTAAAGAACTTTCCCAGAAGAATCAATATCTATAACTAGCCCAATAATTTCCCAAATAGTTATTTAGATGTAAATTTAATGCTTAATTCGAAAATAACAAAGAAATTTTGATAAAATCTACTGTTTTGGAGTTATCAACAAAAGTTCACTCATTTGCATCATGGTAGCCATTACTGGCATTGTTTGCATATATTTGCTGCAGATAGACATTAAATTGTCTTGGTTATTGTGCAGACAATGAGTACTAAGTTGCGCAGTAATTGAGACAAGTAAGAACTGTAAAAAGGTTGTTATCTATGTAATCTTCCACGCAAATCTAATCAGCAGCTAATGTATGCAAACAACATCAGTAAACAACATCCAAACTTTTATTGTCGATAACTCCAAAACGGTAGACCTTATCAAAATTTCTTTTATTTTCAAATTAAGCATGTACATTTACACCTAAATATAAGTATTTGGTAATTTTTTTATTAGATACTTAGTGCAGAGCTTAAAAAGCAAATTACCCAAAAAGTCCTTTCTTCAACAAACTTAACCTCCTGCTTCTGAGTGAGGAGATCAATGTTTCTTTCAGAAACTTCTATAAAAAAAAGTCAGTTCACCCAGGGACAAAAAATTCTCCCTGCAGGGGAAACAAGAGAGTCAAAAGAGAAAGAGGGTCTGTCTCTTTTCTTTTTACACTACTTTATACAACACCATCTCATAATAATTAAGGAAAGTTATAAAAGATTTTATTAAAATAATAAAAAATAATACTTAATTAAAAAGTTTAAATTAATATTAAATAGTCAAAGTTTGAAGTTTGTTTTATACACTTTGTGTGAGAAGTGTACTAAAAGAAAGTCAGACAGTTTGTGAAAAATTGTTGCATTTCATTTATGGGTAAAAGTTTGCTTTTTTTTATTATTTAGAATTGGCTGCCAAAAATAATTGTCATGGCAGACTGTTGGTGATAAATGTTTTCAAATTTAAAAAAATTATATTCCCCTTGTATTTTTCTGTACAATCAAAAGGGTGATTTCCACCCATGTAAATTTAAAGTTGAAAGCTGTTTGATCCTCTTGTGTGAGTATATAAAAATACATGTCAGTGTTATAGTGACAAAGGCATCAGATACAAAGGAAACTGGCTGACTAAGCAAGGGTCTTTGGCATTCACATGTGAAAGTCACTAGGAGAAAAGGCTTCAACATTCACAAGGACAATACTAACAACAAAAAGGAAGAAAAACTTGCCAAATAAGATGGAGTAATATTACAAAACAACATTTTTATAGTCACATTTAATATATAATAATAAACTTTCAATAACTGAACATTTAATTAAATATTTTTGCTTATTTTATAACTGAGATTAATCAAACTGGTGTGGGCTGTGCACATGGCATTGTGGTTTTCAGTGCAGATTAGCATACTGAATTCAGATTAGCTATCTCACAAATATGACCCTTTGAGAGGTATGAATATCTTTTCCACCTCTCCCTTAACTAGAGAGTCTCAAACCTTGATTGGCAACCAGTCTAAGAGAAGAACATCACTAAATTCAAAACCGGTTGGGAGTGTGCATCTTCATCTTGTAAAAATCTACTTGCTGCAAAAACCACAAAGCAACATATAGTGTAGAGGAGTTTACAAGACTTACATAAACTAAACATAAGTAAACTGACTGAAAGTGAAATAAATAAATTAAATAACAGTTGTTCGTGCCAAACAGACGCTTAAAAAAATGAAACCTTATAAAACGAAGTGAGATTAAAAAAAATCAAAACCGTTTGTTGTGTTGTGTATCACTCAGTAACTGTTTTCAATTTTAGGAAATTGCCTGGTAAAATTTAAATTTTTTAATATAATAAAATTGAAAATTTATTAAAAATAAAAAATGAACTTCAAGAATGAGTTGCTTTTTAGTTTTTAAAAAGCTACCTTTGCATCGCAGCTAGGCCATAAAAACGTTTCGGTTTATTTGCGGAAGCAAAATTTGAGAATTTGTTTTTCCTTTGTAAAATAACTGTTAAAAACGACTAAGTATCAGATTAAAAAAAAAAAAAAAAGCCCCTTCGACTAGGACAGATTATAAAAATAGTTCAGCAATTAGTGATCTCACTTTGACCTGGACCTCCCTGCTTCGACACTCACCTCCCAATATACAGTGACGCACCTTTTATTGGTATGATGCAAAGCAGCAAAGGCCTGGCTTAAATGGTTCTAACATTTTTACAGGCATTGACATCATTGTTTTTTTTTGTTTGTTTTTTTTTTCTTTTTCTTTCTTACTTTTAGTTTTCTTTTCTCTCTCTCAAAAAAGAGGTTTTGATTTTATGAAACAAGTTTTTTTTTTTTTAATTTTACCGATGTAAATAAGCGCGGTAAATAATTAAAAACTATATATAGCAACAACAACATTAACAATAGCATTTTCGGATTTCAACTTTGGAAAAACATTTTAAAAAAAAATCAATGAGATGCGATTACGGAATCAATTAATTTTTAAGTAAAAAAAAAAAGAAAGAAAATACAAGACTGCTCTTGCCGTGATATGTGTGTGTGTGTGTGTGACGAAATATTCATTGCCGAATTACATAATGATCAATTCAATTATATTGTTTTTTTTAATTAGTCAATTTCGCTAATTTCTCTGCAACAAAAAGTTTATTTGTGTGAATTGAATATTCTAATTAAAATCATCTCACTCAACAACTACAGTGAGTTGCTTGTTTACTGAGCTGTCTATTGACGTCAGTGTTCGAATCAATGCAGATGAAAACCAGGATTCAAATGCCGATTTTCAAGGCAAGCAAACCAGCATGAGCGTTGTAAATATCACAGTACAATACGTACCTCCATTTTCCCCATGTTTACTTGACTTTATGTCAGAAAGTAAACTTTAACAGGCATCAACTCACCAAACAAATCCTTTTCTTTTAGTTTGTCGTGAATTACGAGGGGTGTCGATAAGTTATCGACCCGACGAAAAAGTCCTTCTCTAGTTTTAGACTAAGCTAAATAGAATTTTTCCCAAATCAGTGAATTATTTTTTAAATGTGTTTCTTCCCAGCATATGTCGGCCATATCAATCTTCTTTACTTCAGACACGTTTGTAAAGTGAAGTTAGTTCTGTTAGTTTCAAGGCCAGAGCTTTTTTTTCTCAAGGTGTTTGTTGACATTTTCCCTACTGCAAAAAACACCTTATCTCGATCGCTAAAACTAAAACATAACCTTGCTTACAGGAGAAGGGTTCGTTGGCAGATTGCTCAGCACGAAACAATATGGATTGGATTGATCATGAACGAAGTGAAATTCAAGAATTGTACAATATCGATGTACTGTACTGTACACAAAACGAAAACGACGTGGTTTGTGTTGAGTTGACGTAACTTAATTTTGACACTCTCTAGCTTATGAAGCATCAAATAAGGGACAACAACAAAAAAACTAGTTGCCAGTGATTTGCGAATCGTACATGTTCTATCTTGGAGCAGAAGTGTTTAAAAATCAAAAACATGTAAAAATAATAATGCCAACAATGATCAGTGAGACTAGTTATTCTATTACAAGTTGTGATTGATTCCAGAACCAATAAAAAATGATTCCGTCTGTCGCAGTCTTCCTCTGACACTGCATACGCGTCTGTATGCAATGCCTATGTTGTACGTGGCTGACTTGCGCTGACGGCAAGATGATCAAATATCAATGTAGGGGACCGTATCGGCAAGGTTACCATTATGTAGAGTTTCGTGTCATGGCGATGTTGTTGAGTAGAAGTAGATGAACACATGTGGGTAGAAATTTCCTGCTAGCTACCCGCTCCAACTACATGAGAAAGCTGGGCTTTAATAAAGTCCAAAGAAGGCAAAGAAAAACAAACACAACACCGATAAATATATGTAAACAAATATATGTATTAATAACAACAAGAAAGGTACAAGTTACATTGACAGAGTGTGTGTGGTGAATATTATGCGTGCGTGTGTGTGTTGTGTTGTGATGTGATGTGATGAGTGTTCGTACGTACGTGTATTGTGCTTAGCGTGTTCCCAGCATTTGGGAAACGCTGTCTCTGTGAGCGTTCACATCAGCGAGGTGGTAAGGCTGAAAGGCTGAGGAAAAAGAGGAAGAGGCGAAGGGTCAGCGAGTATTTATAGCCAGGGAAGAGAGACCCCTGGTGAAAGGGTTAACGAACTAAAGGAGGAGTTAACTCCGACATCAATATTAAAGAAAATATATCCAGTTTAAAAATACAGGAGGCATAAAATAACTTCAAAATGTTTGTGGGTGATGAATTCTTCACCGTCCTGCAATTCCTTTCTCACAGATTAAACGTCGCGCGCCTCTTGCTGCTCTATCGCTATTTCCATGGAGAATGTTCAGATGAACTACATTCCTTAGTTCCACCAGTTCTAGACCTGCTGCCATGCTGCGCACATGGTAAAGAACCACCCTCATTCCCTTTGTATTCCACTGGTAAGATTATATCGGGGTACCAAATATATAGGTAATACTACTATTTATATTAATGATTCTTCCACGTACAGGATTCAAGTAATAATAACAACAACAACTCCAATTTGTTAACCAACAAATATATATTGAATAAAATACAACAACAAGCATGAAATAATTTTGTATTCACAATGTAGATTAAAGAGAAGGAAGTTGTTTCCCTTTAACTGTAGATTGATTTTAATCAACTGTTTGAAGAAAATTCTCTTGTGAGATAAATGTTCCGAAATAATTGTTAGAGCAAAGTTTGCATGTGAAGAATGAATAACACGAAGAAATACAATTGCTTGGTATGTGTTGTGAATAAACTGGTTTGAATCAACAAAGTTCTGGTAAATTGTGCTTGGCGAAAGTTACAGAGAGAAAATGTAAGTTTGTAATTACGAAATTCTGTATCTGTGTGTGCGTTGAGCAAGATCGTGGATTTGTGTTGACGGTTGGGATCTTACTGAATCTTTTTATTTATTGTGTTAAAAGACACAATTTTGGCACGAAAAAGGGAGGGGTTAAGGCTGGTTGTCACTAACTATCTTATATCTAGCTAATCCGATTCATGACCCATTCACTCATTACAATTTGCCCATTCACCACAAAAACTCATCCGTCACCAATCAATCCAGCCTAAACCATAATACCACATTCTCTCCAGGGGTCCTACAAAACGCGCCCCATAATCTTACTGAATCATACTGGCGACTTGCGAAAAGTCGCCCAATTTAAGGAAAAGAGGTAGGCTCCCACGGAACCGCGGGAAAACTTGATCTTACATCTTAAATATGTGATTGGTTAAAAATTAACCAATCACTACACTCCTACTAAACAGAATAGGTAAGTATGCTCAGAACCAAAAGATTCAAAGGAACGACTGCGATGGCTAAATTGTCCTATACAAAGATAGTAGTAATTTATTAGCCAATCGCAGGCGAATAAAATGACGTGGGTGTGAAAAACAACCACTCGAGCAGCTTCTTCCCACGGACCGTTTCTTTGTAGAACCGACTCCCAAGTAGATGCTTCCTCGATCACTACAATCTTAACCTGTTTAAGTCTAGGGTTAACCGCTATTCTCCATACATATCTGCATAAAAAATGCGCCTCTTACTCTGTAACACTCTACCTCGAGTGGATCTCTGGCTTTGTACAGGGTGAAAATCGTTGTAAAAGAAATCCAGGCGGTTGTTGAAGGGGAAATTAGCCAGATGTTCTTTTTAATTTCATTCAATTTGTGTTTGTATGTACGTTTGCGTGTGCGTATATATATTTTAATTCGAATATTGCTGTTAGATATGGCCTGTACTAGATTGGTAACCTGGTTTCATCATTTTACGGTTAAATTGTCTAGATGCTTGATGTAACCATAAGTTCTTTTGCTAACAGTTTCTTTTCTCGCCTGTGGCTCTCTCTTCCATCATCTTGCTTTCCAACCAACGTTGATCTTCAAAAGTTTAAATGCAATGTTAATCGTTATGTACTTTCTTCTTCATTCATGTTCTTTTATTGGCCTCTCTCTTTTAATAATGTTTTATTTTATTTTTATTCTTTCACACTCAGTAACCCCTTGCGTTTTAGTGACTTTATTGCCTTGCTTGGGGTGAAATGATTTAAAGGAAAATTCAATGACAGACCTAAAAATATTCCTGAAAAAAGTTTTTAAAAATAATTCTATTATCGAATAATTTCCAAAAAGTTTAATAAAATCTTCAAATTATCTGATTTTTGGGTTTAAAAAAAATTAACTATATTGTCTTTTTTCCGATGTTATAATTTTATTGTTCAGCCCAGAGTAGGAGTTTGTCTAGACTGAGTGTGTGTGTGTGGGGGGCTTATTCTAATGTCTTATTTTGAAGCTCAGTCAATCAAATTCTATGGTACAAGGCTACAAGCAGCGGTGAGTCACTCACGGAGAACGCATACGCAAATGTAAAGCCACACGCAGTGTGTGTGTGAGAGAGAGAGAGAGAGAGAGACTGACAAAGAATCAGATTTCTTTTAGTTTTATAATACAGATTATATATCAATGTCAGCAATTCAAACTAGAGGAGCAAAGGTGTTAGTCATCCATACGAGGATAGCAAGATTGCCTTAAGTTTAAAACTCAACATTCCAATGACTTTTGAAGTGTTCAAACCCAATTTGAACACTTCTTACCACCAATAGGAACAGTTATCTCGTTTGCGAGGCATTTCAAATGACTGACATTTAATAACGGGTATTTCAACGTGCAGGGATGGTTAGAGCAAATTTGACTATTGAGGGTGTTCCACATTTGTGGTCTTGTGTTGCAGACTAAAAAACAAAACAGGAATTATGGCGATTTCGGATTTTTTATTCACCCCAAATAATGTAAGTTACTTATCGCAAATATTAATTCACCCCAAGAGATTATAAATTTTGGCACTCTCATGAAATTATAAATTTATTAATCTAAATTTGTATAACTTTCCATGGCGTTGCTGGAGTATAGAACAGCCTCCACAGTGTCATTATTGGACACAATCCGAGGTGTAGTATTGTTGGAAAGTATATACCTCTTTGAAGGATGATCCCAATTAATTCATCTGACTGTAAATCACAGTATAAATTTCGTTGACCCAGAAACATCAGCTCACACGCAAACAACCGAAAGTACCTGGCAGAATGCCAAAGGCCCAAAATGAAGAATTATTCGGGACTCATAGACAGTAAGGCAACACAAAAATATCAATGAATGCCTTTTTGAACAAATTTTAAGGGTATTTCTGAATTTTGGCGTGAATTTTAATAAATGTAAATAAATTCTTTTTATTTTGGCGTGAATTAAAACAGAAAAGATCCGCGATTTCTTCTAATTTGTCATTGTCTCTCTTTTTTTAAGAGTAACAAGACTACCCGTTTTCCAGTGATGGTAGTTGTTTTGGTTTGGCGTTTTTCCTAATTTACCAATCAATTGATTAGTCATACTTATGAAGATATCTTAATTTTTACAAATATTAATTATTGATAGCAAGTGTAAATAAGCAGACACGAATTTGAAATTAATTTTTGATTTCTTTGACTAAGTTGAAGAGTTTAAATTTTTTTAGTAGAGATGACAACTCAATTTCAACTTGGAAATAAAAAGAAAAAAACGAATCTGTCTGTTTTACTCTTATGTAGTCTTCTTCAAGCATTATTATGAAGACAAGACAAGTGTACTTTAAAAAAGGTCGAGTTTCTTCTTCCTCTTCAATTAGAGCGTAAAAGATACCGCCTTATTCCCTTGAAGTTTTTCTCACTCATTAGGAATGCCGGTTGAAGTCGCATTTCCCTCCATATGATGATCACTAGTACTAACGACCATTTATGGCAATTACTTACAACTAAACTTGTTACTTATCACACGTGTAGATGTTACGACTCCTTGAGGAAAAATATTTCTCTATGTTCATTATTTCGAGTTTGAGACTGTGAGTGGGCACCTAGCGCGAGACAGTCTTTCATCAAACACCTTGCCTAATGCGGTCGGTTCGTTCGTGTACTTGTAAAATTCACGGTAACTCTTCTTCTTCTTCGCCTATTTTACTTCCTACCTTCTTTGACAAAATTGTTTCTGTTAGCAGCGTTGCACACAATCACAGTTTCTTTAGTTGCTAAGGTTTTAGAGTTTCATCCTTAACTGGTAATTTAAATGATTAAAAAAAAAAAAAAAAATTAAATCTCTTTTACATGGCTTTGGATTTTTACCCCTCCCATGACCAGTCTCTTTTTATTAATTACTTGTAAAACACCTGATAACCCTTCCTTAATTCACCAGTAGCAACGACTTATAAATTTAGAAACTACTTAACGGGTAACATGAATTTTTAGTTTTTCAAATCTAAAAATTTATATCTGCAACACAAGAACAAAAAATAATGTTTAGTTTATTTTACAAGGAGATGCTGGTGAAAAGTGAAAATGTATGATTTTAAAAAGGATTTTTATTGTTTTAAGTTGTCGTGTTTTGTTTTTTTTTGGGGGGGGGTAATCAGAAAGTGGAAAGGTGCATTTCCTGGGGTCTGGTAAATAAAGGAACGTCACTCGGCATAATTTAGAGTAATTTTTCACACTACTACACTCAATGAATATTTATAGTTTTACATTTTCGATGCTCATTCATTAAATGCTCTTAGTCTTAAAAAAAAAACCCCCAAAAACTAGTCAACCTTCCCTACATTATCAAGTAAACATAAAAATACTACTTCCTTACTGTCAGTACTGTCTCTTACTTAATTATATCAACCACGACTTGTACTTACTTTAGTACTCGTAGTAGTAACGAAACATTTAAACACTTAATCGTAAAAACATAATTTACAAGTGGAAACTTTTTGCCACAGGATTCAGCTGAATTTGTTGGATTATTCCCAGTTTTAAACAAAACAATATAAACAAACATTGAGTCTTCGAAAACTGAACCAGGTTAGTTTTTTCTTATTTTTAGCTTTTTTTCGTTATTTTTGTTTTTGCAACTTGGAACTTTTCAAGCTCTTTCAACTTTATTGACTAATCAAGTGAAATGATCATTCTTTAATCTTTACATAAGCAGCTTAGCAAACTTTAAAATTAAAAAAAGCTTTTATTTTTATTTTATTTTTTCAATAAGTTCATTTTAAGTTAAGAAAAAAATCTTTTTCTGTGTAACCGGAAAATGGGTGCTTCTTCTTTCTCCATGTTTTCATGAAAATAGAAAAAAATGTACTGTATGTAACCATGAAGAAGAATATATGCTCGTGATAATTTTATTTTTACCAAACTGACAAAAATTCAAAATGTTGATGTTGCTTTTACCTCGACTTTTTTATTCTTTCTTTTCGGCAAAGTTTAAATTTAATTTTAAAGATCAATTAGTTTTTTGGGGTTTTTTTTTGTACACACCTATATCTTTTCTTGTTTACATATTAAAACTAGATATAAATGTTTTTCTCCACTATGATTTTGACCCCTTCCAAAACCATTAGTTCTCTACTACACAAAATAGAAAAAAAAATGGAAAAATACCGTGTAAATATTTTGGCCTATTAATTTAATTATAATTTCATGTTAGCACGTAAGTCTTGCTGTCAAAAAAAAATCTTAAAGAAAATCACAATTAATTTGTTTGTGCCCTTTTACTTTCAAAATAATTTTTGGTCATTGGGCACATGAAATTCGTTGGTTAAAAAACAAAATCAATATTTTGGTCGAAAAATTCTTATCGCATTTGGTTTTCTTTTGATCTGTAACTTTTACTCAAGTTGAAATAAATTTTATTTTAAGCATTTTTCTTTTTGCTGCAAATATAAACAACCCAAAAATGTCATTGTCATGGCATTTTTATTTATTTGTTACTTTGTAAGTTTTACTTAAGTAAAACTTTATTTTTTTTTCTTTTAGAAACACTTGCCGATGCACTTTTGTTTTCGTCTTTTTTAACTTGTAGATAGTTAATAATAATTCGTAAAATTAAAATAATAACGATAAAAATTCGAAAACATTGTTCTGTAAATTACTTAGTGATTTATTACTGGTAAACATTGTAATAAGTAAAAAAAAAAAAAAAAATGTAATTATTAAAACTATGACAATTATTTAAGACATTTTTACGTGAAAATTAATAATGAACTATAAACGATGAAACGTACCCAATGTAATGTACCCGATATCTACTACTAAAAACTAGTTACTTACTAGTAGGAGAGAACGCTTTTTAAACCTACTACCTAATGTACTTCCAAAGTTTTATTCACTTCTGAATGGTTAATCAACGTTTCAGTGATCCACCCATTCAAATGTCAGTAAGTGACAATTGTGGATCCCTGGATTGCAATTATTAGAGAGACTTCTTCCCTGTGATGATCTGTCTTGCTTATCAAGTCTGCACATTAGGCTCACTAATTATTCAATCATCTATCGTTTCCCAAACTGACTCTGCTCCCCCCCCCCCCACACACAATTCCTCCTCTACTCTCACCGAAGAAGTGTATGACTAAAAACAAGACTCAAAAAATGTGGGGGACTTTCGGTACTGTTTCTTGGTAAGATATAATTTGAAATTTTTTTTTAGGAAAGCTCATGATTTCAACTTCAACAAAATCACCGCTCAACTCTAGAAAGTGCAGTTCTCTTACTTTTTTAGACTAACCAAAATTTGTTATTTCTTTACGATTTTAGTTCCACTTCAAAGAAGTTATATTTGCTTTTAGACTTCATTTATTTTAGAGAAATAAATACTCAAGTCAACAAAATTATCAAAAGTTATTCTTTTTGTTTGTTCTTTGCTTGGTAACACACGTTTTGTGCTCTTACTACCATAATCCTTTTTGGAAATCCCTAATTTATATCTTCCAGTTTTTATCAATAAAGAAACTAAATAATGATGTCAAGGTTACTATTCATAAAAGCCAACATACCAGACGTAGATTACAAAAAAAAAAACCTCTCATATCAGTCATCCGCAGGTAATATTCCTGTTCACAAAGTAAAGAAAGAATGACAAAATAAGTATCTTAAAAATAAAATTGAAAAAAAAACTGTACCTGAAAGAAAACCGTTGGCATTATAACTAAAAATGGTGTCCTGTTGTACAGCACAGACAAGAACATGACAATTGCTTACAGCATCTGTTTACAAGCAATTTAAAAAACAATTGCACTGTGTGAAACTACTCCTTTACTTAAGAGAGTATTATCAATGTAAAGAAAAATATAAACACTGTACACGTTTAGTATCACTTAACACTAGAAATTATGCATTACTACCTTGCCTTACTAGTTAATCTTCTTGGGTAATAACTCGGTAAGAAATTGTACTAAACAGAAAACAAAATAACACCTTTATTCCAGGAGTTTTTAGTGCAATGGTTATCAAGATTTTACTAAGAGTTTTAAGTGGAAAAAAGACAATCTTTTGATTGCTTGGCACACACCGAAGTTTTTAAGAAAACAAGTTGTGTTGAGTTGAGACTTACCAATATTTATAGATGGATTGCAAAAACAAAAAAACAAGTTGCATCTTTATAACCAATAAAAAAAAAAATTTATTTATCTACATACATTATGCTCTTTAAACAGTGGCAATAAAAAGAAATAAAAATGATCAATATTACTTTTGTTTATGTGTAAGGAAGAAAATATATTTTTGTATTAATTTGACTTGTAAACATAAAATTCCTGAAATCTGATACATTTCAAAGTAGGTTGTGTTGATTTAAAAGTAATTTATAAAAAAAGAAGAGTACAAGAAGAATCAAAGTGTTTTCTTAATGATTTAAAACCGTTTCCTTTGTCAGGTTTCTCCTTGCAATGACTATAAGGGGAGTATTTAAGCTTTGGCAAAATGGTCTGTTGATTGGATGATCTGGCTAACTATATGCTTTACCATGTCAACGCCATTAGGTGTCTTTCTATAAGAGTGGTACAGATTTCTTTTTCAATCTTTGTTTGAAAAACAATTTTATTTGGTTGAGCCAATTTTGAATATTGTTTTCAGTTGGAAATCCTTTTTCTCGTGGGAATTTGTTGGTTTTTAATTTCCAACCATCAGAGTGAAAACTTCTGTTAGGATTTTTGCTTATTTATCAGGGATCTAATAAGGTGACTCATGCTTTCATCTTAGTCCAAACAACTGTTGGAATAATTCTTACTAGCTGGATCTATAGAATCCAAGTGTTGACTGTCTTATGATGTGGCTGATCAAAGATGCAACAGAATAGCATTTGGCTATTCAATATCTTATGGCTTAACTCACAGCAACAAATATTTTCTGGATAATTAATAATGTAAGAGAAATTTATAAATTTCTCCCTTTTTTTTTTAAGAATTTGATTGGTTTTTACAAAATCAGTTTCTATATTTAAACAGTTTATAAAATCCACAAATATGAGTCTGTCTGAACTAATTTTTGTTATTGTTTCTCTTTTTCACATTACAAAATCTCTTGAGCATCTTAGTTTGTGTATGATGTGATCACTTTGAATACAAAATACATTCTGGCTTTTGATATTGGTTTTTATTTATGAACACATTTATTTCAAAACATTCTGCTGAGTTCTCTTTAGTTCGTGTACCCTAAAAATAAAATTACATTGTCAAATCTTTTTGAACAACAAGAGATCCATATACAACACATGTCTTCTATTTCTTTGAAAACTTTTGGTGCTTCTTTGTATGCTCTAATTTAATTCCTGATAATCTGTTCATGCAACATCACATGATTTTTCTTGGTCATGCTTAAATCTGGATTCAATATCCAATCTCCAGAGGTCCACAATTGGTATGGGTTCTGTTATACTGATTTTTCATTTGGGATTTTTTCATGGTAATTCTTTCTTGTATCAAATCAGGCCACCAAGGAATTACTCTCTCTGGATGTCCAGAGAATGAGATCCTTCCCATGATAAGCTCTGCTAGGCTTACTACTGTTGGTCTTTGCATTGTGTGTTGTCTTTGGCTTTTTATGGTCTATTGGCAGTTTCTCAAGTGCGATCACAGACTAAATAAATGGACAATTTAAGTTTTTTTTTTTTTTTTTAATCGCTTTATTTCAGTGGGTGGAGATGTAGTAGTAGTGGTAGCATAATCTCTTAAAAGAAGAGAAATTATGATAAAAAGAAACAGACTTTAACAGAATCGGCCAGTGATTTGCAATCACCAAATAGTGGCATGTCTCAATCTCCTGAAGCCACAACATGACAAGGAATCTTGGAGTGGAGAGGCATCTTCATTCTTCTATGATTGTCACTATACTGAGACTCTTTGAGTTTTTTTCAGTTTGTCAGGATTCCATGCCCACAGGTTTCAAACCACTCCCCCTGTGTCATCAAGAGTTCTGACCAGTGCATTAGAGTTTGACTATACTTTGTGTAACATTGATAAAAATCAGTATGTTGTGGTAGAATATCAACATGAGGAAAATATCAGGCTGCTTTAATATTTGTTTAGATATTTTCACCCACTTTCTGCCTCTTCATTTGCTTGTGGAAAATATGGATGAATCAATGTGAATAAACAAAATCACTAAAAGTAGAACTTGTAAATTCTCCACCATTGTTGCTGACAACCTCATTTGGGATATCTTCTATGGCAAAGTAATGTTTTAACTTGTCTATAACATTAGTACTGGTTACAAAATGAAAATGCACTATTTGCAGTTTAACTGATAAGTAGTCAATGATAACAAAGTAATGTCTCTTGTGTGTAAATAAATCATTACTGTTGTAGACTCAAAGGGTAAAGCTGTTGCTTCCAAAGGTTCATGGAAGAAATCTCCAATACCTCCAATTTCACGAGATGTTCCTGGCTACCACTTGGATGCATTAGCTTGTTCCTTACATTTGTTCAGATCCATATGGCCACAATTTTGACTAAAGAATTTCAGCTCTTAGATTTTCTGGAATCACAATTCAATCCCGATAGAACAAATTTTTATGTTTTCATTCTGAT